ATGAGACCCAAACCATCGGAGCGGAGTTATCAGTAAGTGATGGGGAAATCAGCGTCCTTATAGAAACTGCGGTTGATGATATAAAGCCTGCATTGCCCATAATAAGGAGTATGCCATAATTCCCATAGTTTAGGGTCCTTAAGGTAGTGCAGGATTTATATCATCAACAGTAGCGTTTAGGGTTTAGGGTGCGACCCAAACTCCTGAACCCCCAAGCCGTGAAACCTGAGCTTCAAGACCCGAATCTCTTAGATAAGGCTTCTATAAGGTATATAGACCTTCTACACGGCTCCTATAACGGGAACTACCCACCTGAAAATGTCCTAGACCCAAATCCCACACCCAAATGTCCCCAATATGGAGGCCCACACCATGGGCAAGACTTTTCGTCATAATGCATATAGATAGAAAGCCCCTGCCCCAAACAACAACCAAACAGGGGCCGAACAATCCTTTCAACCCCCTTAAACCCCGACAAAATCGAAGCTAGGCCACTAGTGTTTCAGGCCTTCGGTTTTGGAACTTCGGGTTTAAGGTGGATTCTTGTTCAGGGGCTTAAGTTACGTTGCCATAAGAAGGAAACCATATTACTTACTACAGATCCCTATTATTATGGTAACTTGAACAAAAGAATCCCTTAACAAGGACCCTAAACCCCTAAACCCTAAACCCCTAAACCCCTAAACCCCTAAACCCCTAAACCCCTAAACCCTAAACCCCAAAACCCTAAACCCCTAAACCCCTGAACCAAGACTCAAACCCCCAAAGCTCAGGAGTGCCTGGACATCTAACTTACTATAGATGCCTATTATGGTAACTTGAACTAAATCCCTTACCAAGAACCCTTATCCCTAAACCCCTAAAGCCCTAAACCCCTAACCCCTAAACCCCTAAACCCCGAAAACCCTAATCCCTTAAACCCCTTTTCCCCCTAAACCACTACACCCCTAAACCCCTATACCCCTAAACCACTACACTCCTAAACCCCTAAACCCTAAACCCAAGACTCCCAAAGCCCCCAAAGCTCAGGAGAGGCGGTCTGGACATATTACTTACTATAGATCCCTATTATGGTAACTTGAACTAAATTCCTTAACAAGAACCCTAAACCCCAAACCCAGTTACGATGGCAGCCTGGACAGGAGTTTGGCTCCCAGCGAAGCAGCGACGGCGAGTTGACGGCACCCGCTTGGAGCAGGACCCCGGCTACGCGCACACCGCAGGAGGGCCCCACCTTCATCCAAGGGTTTAGGGATCTTTTTTGGGGGTTAGGGTTCAGGGTTTAGGGTTGAGGGCTTAGGGTTTAGGGATCGTTTTGGGGTTTAGGGTACAGGGTTTTAGGGTAGTGTTTAGGGATCGTTTTGGGGTTTAGGGTACAGGGTTTTAGGGTTTAGGGTTTAGGCTAGTTTAGGGATCTTTTTGGGGTTTAGGGTTCAGGGTTTCAGGGTTTAGGGTTTAGGGCTTAGGGATCTGTTTGGGGTTTTGGGATCAGGGTTTTAGGGTTTAGGGTTTGGGTTTAGGGTTTAGGGTGTAGGGCTCCTCTAGAGGGTGGTTTTACGGGTTCCCCTTCGAGGGATCCTTGAAGGGCTCTATCAAGGGTGCTGTTAAGGTACTACGGCTGATGATCTAAATCCTGCATTACCTAAAAGGACCCGAAACTATCGCAATTATGGTTAAAACTTCTTGTCCCTAAATCTAAATCCTGCAGTACCTATAACACCACTAGGTTTTTGCAAAGAGTCTTTGGGTTTCGGCTCCGGGGTCTTGCGACTCAGGAGTGCGTGGCTGAAGGATCATCGTTTCTGGGGTACGGGGTTCAGGGCTTAGGGTTTAGGGTTCAGGGTTTAGGGCTTAGGGCTTCGTAGTTTCGGGTTTTAGGGTTTAGGGTTTGTGTTTCCTTTGCGGGCTGCAAGAACAAAAGGACTCGACTCCGGCCCAAAGCTCAATGCCTTCAACTCAACTCCCGAAAACCCATCGCAAGAAGATCTTCACTTCTGAAGCTACTGTTGATGATATAAATCCTTAGCATTACCTTAAGGATCCTAAACTATGGGGAATTATGGTATATATATATATTCCTTCTTATGGGTAATGCAGGATTTATATCTTCAACCGTACCTCCTCAAGAGGCAGAACCCGTTTTAGGGCCCGGTTTCGGACTTGGGGCTGCAACCGAAACAGGAAAATTTCCTTAAACCCTAAACCCTACAACCCTAAACCCTAAAAACCCTACACCCAAAAACAAGTCCCACCTCAATCACTGGCGTGCCGGCCGTGGGCACGAGCGTAGCCATGCCCAGCCCCAGGAGCACTTGACCACTCACGTTGAAACCTGCGCGAGTGCACTAAAGTGGACCCAAGCAAGATGCCCCACCCATAGGGTTTAGGGTTTAGGGTTTAGGGGGCTCCATAGTAGTCTTAGTTCCTTTTGGGGATTGCGTTATAGGATTTTCAAGAAAAGCCACAAGAAGGAACTACTATGGAGCCTATGGGCAAACCCCTGTGTGATATGCTTTAGACCCCAAGACTCGACAGTCTAACCCCGCAACCTCTGTGCCTTGGGGCTTCAAAGTCAATACGACTGTTGATGATACAAATCCTGCATTACCTCAAGGACCCTAAGCTACGGGGATTATGGTAGATTCCTTATTATGGGTAATGCAGGATTTATATCATCAACCGCAGTGCACCTTCAAGGCCTTAAACTTCCCTAAGCTGTGCCCTAAACGGCTCAAACCCCTGGAGCCTCGAAGCCACGAAACACAGAACCAGACACAACCCCGAACTGCCGAAGGGCGATGAAAACCATGATCGACAAGCTATGCAACTGAGTCCCAGATCCTTGAACTCTGAACCCCGAGCCCAACCCTCAACCCTAAACTCTAAACCCTAAACCCTAAATCCCTAATCCCCAAACCAACCCCAAACCCTCAACTCCCTAGGGCACCAATTGGAAGCCTCAACCCAACACCCCAAGCAACAGAGGGATAGTTCTCTAAATTAGGGTCCCCTATTTAGGATCCCCAATACCGTACGGCACCCTCCTAAAAAGGACCCCCCAAAACAGGCCCCTACTTTAGAGAGCGACCCAGACGGCCCGAAATCCAGAACTCTCAGCCCCCAAACCAGACCTGTGAGACCTCAAAGCCTGAAAAAGCCCTGGCGATCGCATGGGTTTAGGGGTTTGAGGGTTTAGGGTTTAGGGCTTATAGGGTTTAGGGTTTAGGGTTTATAGAGGTTTAGGGAGCTCAAACAACCGCGGCTTTTGCTTGGATTCTCAATCTGGGTCCTGTAACACTTCGGAAGGCGTTCGAATCTGGTTCTTGCTCACCTACTCAACCCTAAACAGCCCTTATAGTAGTAGACCGCCGAAGTAGCGCTTATGTAACCCCTAAACCCTACACCCTAAACTATAACCCTAACCCCTAAAGCCCCTAAACCCTAAATTAAACCCTAAACTATAGCCCTAACCCCTGAAGCCCCTAAAACCCAAACCCCAAAACTATAACTCTAACCCCTAAACACCCTGAACCCTACCCCCCCCCCCCCATGCCCAGCTCCCACTTGAATGAAGCATCCAGGAGCCTAGCCGGAGAGGCTCGCTCAGTTGGTAGATCCTCCGCGCGCTTTGAGGCTTCTAAAGCTTCTTGCGGTTTTGAAGAGGTCCCTTTTATTGGGTCTAGGGTTCACTAGGGTGTAGGGTTTAGGGTTTAGGGGTTTAGGGAACAGGGGTTTAAGGTTAATTAGGGTTCAGGGTTTGGGTTGTGGGGGCTCTTTCATAGGGTCCCCCTTACGGTTCCTTTTAACGGGTTCTATCATGGGGTCCCCAATCAGGGTACTGTAGGGCTCTATCATAGGGTCACGTTTACAGGGCTCCTTGAGAGGGACTACATGGGTTGCTACAAGGGATTCGGATTTAGGGGCTTCGGTTGATTTAGGGCTTTGGGGTTCTTAAGGAAACTCCTTTAACCCTAACCCCTAAAGCTTTAGGATTCTGCAGATTCTCAAGATGCTCTTGTTCAGAGGCCTCAGGGGTGGATTTTCTCCTAGATGGGACCCGGGGTCTGGTCAAGGGCACTTTGAGGGCGGGGAGCCTAGGCACAGAAAGCTTTGCTTATGCTCGACATTCATGTTCAAGCCAGCATCAGAAACGATTGAGCAAACCCATACGGCGCTCAATCCTGAACCTGAACAATGCCTAAGAACCCTAAACCCTTGATGACGAGCAGCCTATGAATAAAACAAGAATGATCAGCCTAAGATCCCGGGGGAGAGCACCACGTGTCTCCCTGCTGCCAGCTTCGCGTTGATCGCAGAGGCTTCCATGGAATCTGTAGCCTTGGAAGAGTGCTCTAGGCCAGGGTTAGGGCTTAGGGTTGGGGACTTGCGGTGATTTACGGTTTGGGGCTTCGGATCCACAGGTAAGAGAAGGTTTAGGGACTGGGGTTTCAGGGTTTAGGTGTTGGGGGCTCGGGTCCAGGGGAACATGAATCTAGGAGTTTCGGAGGTTTTAGGGAAAACTGTCTAGGGGTGACAGACCAGGAGTTCACATCCGTTTTCTGGAAGCGTGCTGGAGGACGTCAGGTACAGTCAGGGTGTTAAGGCAAGCAACCTAAACCCTAAACCCTAAACCCCAAACCCCTGCTTGCGTCAGAGCTGGTTGAAACTCTGACAGAGACCTACGCAGTCGACGGGCAGAGCGGCCTGAACATAAGTTGTGCTGCTTCTGCGCCAGGAAGGGAAGAAGTGGGATCTCTCACAACCCCCAAAATCTCTCCAGAAAGTGAGCTTGAGTGAAGAAGCGCAGCCTAGGCCCTAAACCCTAGACCCTAAACCCTGAAGTCTAAGCCCTACACCCTTAGACTCTTTCTTAACATCTCAAGCAGAATACGTATACTCTAATATATCGCATAGAGGGTAATATACAATACGACCACACAATATGAAATCATGTACTGTAAGACCTGCAATAGAGTGAAGTATGGTTCAAGACAAGGAGCCACAAAGACGTGTTCGAAGCCGGTGAGGTCCGCCTCGTCCCAGCTTGGCCCACTTCGTCCCCAGACCGGTCGGGGGATCGCTAGGTTGAACTTTCCCATGGCATCCACTGTGATGTAAGGCTTCTCCTTAGACGTGCAGATCGGATTCAGGGTTCAAGGGTTTGAGGTTTAGGGTTTAGAGTGTAGTATTTTAGGGTTTAGGGTTTAGAGTTTAGGGCTTCTGGGGTTTAGGGCTTAGAATTTAGGTGTTTAAGGGTTTAGGGCTTCGGAGTGACTTTGGGGAAGTAGAGGTGTAGCATTTGCGGTCTTATTATAAGCATTGTCACACTACCCTAAACCCTAAACCCTAAACCCAAAGCCCTGAACCCAAAACCCAAAACCCTAAACCCTAAACCCAAAACCCTAAACCCTAGACCCTAATAGCGGTTACCGACTCTATTCCTACGTCTTCCTTAGAGAGCTGCAGAAAAGAAGCGGCCCTGTGAGGCTTGGGGCGAAGACAGTCAGGACAGTGAACCGTTAGCCATCGGCTTATTTAAGGCTTGGTGTTTAGGGTTTAGGGTTTTTAGGGTTTTTAAGGCGCGTTATCAGTTGGCCTGGTTCATACATAAAACCCGACAGCCCCCAGAACATAGCCATACCACCCTCAACTGAAAGCAAGATACAGGCTGGCCGAGTCTCCTAGCAAGAAGCTACGCCTTGCTCAGAACACGGCTGTAAAAAAAACAACGGAATAAGCAAAGCATATTGCCTTAAACCCGCTAAACCCCAAACTCTAACAGAAGGGTCGATAGAGCCTACACCCTAAACCCTAAACCATGTCAACGTGACACCTTTTACATAAGTGGAGGGTGGCCAAGATTTCGGAGCCACAGGGAGTTAGTTTAAAAGTGCTGTTTGAAATCGTACATTAGGGCTTAGGGTCAGGGAACTTGTAAGGGTAGGGCTTTACGGTTTAGGGATTAGGGTTTAGAGTCAAGTGGCACAAGTCCACGGCACAGTTCGGTTCCTGGCATATATGCATAGCCCAGTTGTGAAACTGGTTTAGGGTTTAGTGTTTAGGGATGAAGAGCGAAGAACAGCAACAACACGGCGAGTTCTGGGCCCTAAACCCTAAATGCTAAACCCTATCCTAAGCCCTAAACCCTAAACCTTCCTGACTGCAGGTGAACGCCTTCTGTGTGGACATGGTGGGGTGGAGTGGAGGGGTGGAGGGAGGTGGAGGGAGGTGGAGGGAGGTGGAGGGAGGTGGAGGGAGGTGGAGGGAGGTGGAGGGGTGGAGGAAGCGGTGGAAGGGGTGGAGGAAGCGGTGGAAGGTGATCCCGCTTTGAAATGGGCTTGGTGGCCCGGGGGGAAGCCAACGGAGGTAGTAGAAAATATCTGCTAGGCATCCAAAAAAGGCGCATACTTTAAAAAAGATCGTCATCGTGCGAGTTTCGAGCAGCACCGGCGGCTTCTCCACCAAGAGATTCTGAGGATGAGGCGAGACGGGATCCTTCGGAAACCCAGGGCCTAGAGGGTTTAGGGTTAGGGTTTAGGATTCTTCTTGCAATTAGAACCGGGGGTTTTGGGCTTAAGGGTTTGGGCATCAAAATTTTGTCCAGGGTTGAAAGTTCAAGATTTGGCGAAATCCTGTAAACTTGAAGGCGGGATTTTGGGCCGTGGCAGCATTGAAATGCCTAAAGTGTGCCCGTTAGGCTTTTCGGGTCGAAGTGTTTAAGGCCCCAAGATCCACAGGTTAGGGGCCACGAAACGCTTGTGCACTGCGAAGATGCTTTCTGAAGCCTCAACTGCTGCTCCCAACCCCAATATCGAAGCCGATATTACTAACACTAATTTGATAGAAGGTTTGGGTTTAGGGTTTAGGGTTTAGGGTTTAGGGTTTAGGTGCTATTCATCTGGAATAGCTATGCAGGAACCATGGGATAAAACGTCACGGCCCAAGCGGCAACCCCTACAATGAACCCTTGCAAGGGCTATTCATCTAGAGCAACTAATAACAACAGCCAACGGATACTATGTCAAACCTTCATGAGAACTCCATGGCACAGGCCCAACCGGCAACCCCTAAAAATAAACACTTGAAGGCTATAGATCTAAAATAACCAGATAGGGACAAACAAGGAACACTATGTCACTTCGCTGTGCGAACTCTATAGTACCGGCCCAACCGGCAACCCCAAGAATCTACCTCCAAACCTAAAAACCCTAAAAACCCTACACCCTAAACCCTAGAGCCCTCAAGCCTTACACCCTGAACCTCCTCAGAACCAAAGCCCGAGACTCAAAACACAACGCCTTGGTCCTGCGCCCCAAACCCCGAAACACCCAAGCTGGAAATTAAACCCTAAGCCACACGCCTAAGACCTACCTAAACCAGCAAAACCCCACAAACCTTAAGCCCAAACTCGGCAAACCTCGTCGATTCTTAACCCCTGAACCCCCCCTCCTCTCCCCCTCCTCTACCCTAAACCCTAAACCCTAAACCCTGAGCCCTACACCCTAAACCCTCAACCCTAAACCCTAAACGGTCCTGCAGGGAGTTCGTGCAGCTCGTTTCAGCTGGAGCCCCCTCGGTGCCCACGTACACGAAGTTCACGGCACGCGGTGGGCTGTCGAAGTAGGTAGTGTTCCGTACCTGGTGCCCGGTGACGGTGGGTTTAGGGTCGAGGGTTTAGGGCTCAAGGATTCAGGGTTTAGGGGTATAGGGCCGTGTAGGGTGCAAGTAGGGCTCTTGGGTGTGCATAGGTTCAAGGCTTTACAGGTTGGACGTTTGGGGTTTAGGATTTAGGGCCCAATATAGAGTAGTACAGGCTGAGTTAAGTGTAGGTCTTGGAAGGCTTTCGGCGTAGAGTTTACTTAGGTTCACGGATTCGCGACATTACTACTGTTGATGATATAAATCCTGCATGACCTTAAGGCTCCTAAACCATGGGAATTATGGGATATTCCTTGTTGTGGGTAATGCAGGATTTACATCAGCAACCGTATCGTTACCACGACTACCACGATCACGGGCTTTCCGGCTCTGGCCTGCTGGCTGCTGCTACAAACCCACTGCGCTCACTGAAACCGCTTGCTTAGGGTTTAGGGTTTAGGGTTTAGGGTTTAGGGTTTAGGGTTTCGGGTTTACGGTTTAGGGTTTAGGGTTTAGCAGCTATTTCGGCGGTTGCTGGTCTGAGTCGTTGTGCTTACAAAAGACTACCGCCATCCTCCTGCTGCGGTGATGAGGATCTTCGGCAGGCACAGCAACAGCAGCATCCTCATCCTCACCACCGTGCCCTGAACCCTAAGCCTTGAACCCTAAACCCTGAACCCTAAACCCTCAACCCTAAACCCTGAACCCTAAACCCTGAACCCTAAACCCTTAAACCCGAAACCCTAATCCATCATCATCGGCACTCTCCGTATGTTCCTTGGGTCCTCAGCCGTGTTCCCGCCCCCGGGGGTCTGCTCCCATGTCAACCCACGGGGCCTTGCAGCTGCGGATGAGCCACTGCTGCTGCCGCACTAGATCCACTGTGCCGGTGACCTGAACAAAGCTCGTGGAAATTGGAGGTTCATGGGTAGTTATAGGTGGGGTTATAAGTCGGGTAACTATAGTTATAACTTATATTAAGGGACTTAGTTTTTATTGTTTTGAGCCTTTTTCTGCAGCAGATCCACAGAGATTTAGGGTTTAGGGTTCAGGGCTTGGAGTTCGGGGTCTAGGGTTTAGGGTTTAGGGTCTAGGGTCAAAAGGGGTGTAGGGTCTAGGGCCCAGGGTCTAGGGTCTACGGTCTAGGGTTTAGGGTCTAGGGTTTAGGGGTTAGGGTTTAGGGTCTAGGGTTTAGGGTCTATAAGGTCTAGGGTCTACTTTCTAGGGTTTAGGGGTTCGGAGACGTCTGTCCAAGGCTGGCAGCGGAGGCCACAAGCAAACCTCCAAGAAGCCCCCGGACCTGCAGCGGTCCCAAAGCCCCCATTCACCCAATTTAGGGTTTAGGGTTTAGGATTTGGGGTTTTGGGCTTAGGATTTAGGGTTTTGGGTTTAGGATTTAGGGTTTTGGATTTTTTGGGTTTAGTCTTAGGGGTTCGGGTTTAGAGTTTAGGGTTTCAGCTTGTAGCCTCCTGAACCCAACCCCCCTAAGCCAAGACACCTAAATGCCTGCGCCCACCCCAATCAAAAACGCAAGCGCCAACTGAAACTGGAAAAGAAAAAGCGCACATTCACCACCCGCACCCCCAACCCTGCGCAAAAAAAGCCTTCAAACACAAAAGCGCAAAGGACCCTAAACCCTAAACCCTAACCCCTAAACCCTAAACTTCTAATTAAACCCTAAACCCTAAAGGACCTCCAAGTTCGCCACGAAGCCGCCGCTGCCTTCGGAAGGCCCGTCCTTTCCGGGCTCCCCGAAGGCCAGGTCTCCGTGAACCTGAACAAAGGCAGGGTTTGGGGCTTTGGGCTTTGGGT